CCGCCAAAAGAGGCAGAGGGTCTCAAAATAGAGTTGACCTTCCCAAGTCTTGCAATCAAACTAGATATTCAACAGATTTGGGGGGAAATGCCGAAACTTTGCGATGCTTAGCTGCTTTCGATGGGATAAATCTAGCCATCGACTTCGAAGCGGCAGCAGGGTTAATGGCGTGATTTTAGCAGTTCCTGCAGACAGAGCTGCTACGAGTTGGAGTACAACCAGGTGAGGCCGACCGATTAAATAGGAGCAATTTTCTAGTCAATTGTAAGTCCTTTAAGACTGAGAGGATGAGACGAGGGAAAGGGGTCGTGGTGAATTGCGAAAATAGTTGGAAGGAAACAATTCCAAATCAAAAATTACATGGTAGTATACTTGCTTTTGGATCAGCATTAGTTCAGTTAGTGGTGTAAAGAAAACTTAAAAAAATATAAGTTAAACGTGGAATTTGTTGCCTTCGATGCCTGTATAAATTTAATTACATTTTATACGAAGGATAATTAAAAATTAATCATGTTATTACGATATTTACACTCTTCGATGAACGTTCACCAATCACTAACGGAATTCCCTCGTACCGCTCTACCTTGGGGCTCCTTCTCGAGCCCCGCCAACAGCAGAACAGCGTGGCTAGTAGTCTAGGCATACAGCGTTGCCGGCAAAGACAAGGGAGACTGGAATGGCCATTTCTGGCTTATTAACCGTCGTTAGCGAGTCATACGCAACCGCAAGTAGTGCCGCATCAGAAGCTCTTCGACCCTTTGATCAGAAGTCTAACGGTTCACGAAGTTTAGGAAGAAGTTTTATCGAACATCGGAATCATGATTTTATTCGTCTGAACTTTCGGGCTCCTGCAGGAGTCCATCGTCAGAGATGGGAAAACAGCAACACGTTCCTGGAATGCGAACATTTTCCTCAATTCACGAATTTTAGCTTTAATTCCTAACATAAGAAAGGGAATATTTCGAATTTGCGAGCATGATGACTTTTAAAATATTCTCACAATCACTCATACAAAACAGAAATGCCGTCCTTTGTTAGATAGTTCATTTGAAGAAAACATAAAATTGGCCATAAAAATAAAGCTCTCGTGCACTCTTATAAAATGAGTGAGCTTAATGAAACATTTCCGCATGTGTTTCTTGAATTTTGGTAAATGCTTTAGACACAGGCCTTTTGGCCTCGTTTTAAATCTTAGAGAAAGCTTAAATGAAAATATAACAGTCAACCTGCTGTTTGGTAAATTGCATGTATAAACGTTGCTCAGGACACGTCCCAAAAGGGGAACTTGACACAGAAAAAGGCAAGGTGTAGGATCTTACCCGTAAGGTCTTCTTCCGTTTCGTGAAAAGTTGAAGTTTCGTGCAGAGCGATCGTAATCACGGGAACTACAAGCATGCAGAAACGTACATGTCTTTATTCTTGTCAGACAAGCAGAAAAGCGTCGCATCTACTAGTAATACCTAGGAGAACCTACCGTGAACGTCTATACCTTCTGCGATCGTCAGAACGACTTCTCGAAGGTGAGGATGAGCTCGAACGAGTCCAAGAACGTCGTCGCTTCTGCAACGGAGAATTTGGTGGAGATGACTTTGAGGCGTCGGGTGCGGAATCAGTAGGTTTTGGTGGCAGCGTCGAATCCGACACAGGATTCGTTGACATAACCTCAGTCATTTAACTGCAAACACTACAAAATAGAATAAGTCCAAAACATAGACTAACAGTTTAGTAAGGTCCGTGAAAAATCTCCGCCTGCGTACCAAAATAGCCCCGAAACCCTGCAAGTTCTATCTAACCACTAAGATTTATGGCAAGACTAGGGTGACTAAGGTTACCGGTAAAGTTGTCTACGTAAAAAGTGGAAAGCGGGCAATCCCTATGAGGTGAGGTTCGCTCGAAATTCTTGAATTCGTTTTCAGTTGTAGAAAAGGGCTAGCTGACAGCCTCCGTGGGTTAGATAGGTGTCCCCCCTTCACGACCTCGTAACTAGAGTTACGGTTGTTTGGTCTCATAGGCTGCGGAAATGCTAGAAAACTGGGTGGAAAAGTTGACGAATAGCGTGAAGGTCGTCCGTGATAATGTTTATGTCACTGCCAACGATAACTGGAGTAAATGCATCGAAGATTCCTGAAACTCCCGACTGGGCAAATGGTGTTATACAGTTCCCCTAAAAACATATATACCCACCTTCTCTGCCAACTGGGTCCCGGTTAGACAAGCCAGAAAACCCATGATAGATGGTCATGAAGCATGCGCAGAGAACGAGCAAGCCAGGCGGAAGCATACAGGCTAACCAGCAAGTGTATCAACGACGTGCAAGGTCATCTGCGATACACCACAGGGACGGACAGTACGACTGTAATATGCGACGAGATGACAACTGTACCCAGATGGGCACAGTGGTGACTTGCATATGAAGCTGTCCATTCCCATACCCATCACAAAAAACCAAATATAAGTTGACTGGGAACGGATGTGAGCATAGTGAATGGCAACGTCAAATAGTCGGACTTTTTGCCATACACACACACACACACACACACAGCCTGGTCCTTAACGCCAAACTAAACGGACCTTAAAGAGAACGCATGGAACCTCGTTTAAAAAATCGCCGTGGGGGGATGTACTAAGGCGCGATCGCAATCTGGCCTTTGTTTGAAAGCTGACTTATCTCGTCTGTTGACAACCCTTCCAGTCATGATTGTTAACGCATCGTCAAGGTTTGTAATGCGTCAGATTCATTTCGGTGAGAACTCCACTGAACAGCAATTAGTAGGAGGACCGCAATATCGACCACACTTACTCCCCTCCCACTGTTCTGTCTGAACCCTTCGTCCGACCGGTGATGCGTATGCGCAGTGACCAACGTGGCATAGGCCTTCGTCTAATGCGTCTGAGGCCACCGCATGAACGCACCCGCTTAATTAATCTCCCTCAACCAACACACAGACTGAATACTAAGACTTGCTTACCTAAGCGTCCTTACTTGACTAGTTGGGTCAAGGCCCAACAAACCAGTCTGACTGACTAAGTACAACACATGATAATTCGCGGAGGCCGAGCACGCTGTTGTTGCTGACGGTGAAGTTGCCGCACTTATCAGCAGAAGAAAAAAGATAAGGTTTCTGTGTAGGCATTAGCGAGCCAACCTAGGGACATCGCCTAATCGTGCTATTTTAAGAAGTTTGAATAAAAGAATACCAGACGATGGGCATACTGATTGTGATCGAGTAAGGATTAAGAAACACTATGGAAATGAACAGACAACTGAGGTAAAACCCGTGAAAGTGAGGCGGCTCGGACGCGATCCAGGCATGCAACATACTTCATGCAATGCCGATTATGATGGTAAATAATAGCGCAGGTACTTAACAGGTGCAAGCCTAAGTAATTCACATGCCTGTTCAAGTAAACTCAGGCTTGGTATCCGCCTTATTTCGCAAAAGAAAATAAAAAAACAAAGTCACCTGCGCGATAAGAGAAAAGGTATCATGCAGCACTACGACCACTTAAATAAGGAGAAGGCACGTGAAACGCTTCAAGCAAGGGATGGGAAGACACGAAATGACCCCGAGGAGCAAACGTGGGTCGCGCACATTAAAATGAAAACTTGGTAGGATAAGAGTGGGGGTACAGCAAAGCAGAGGCAGTAGCAGCAACAGTTTAAGTGGACATCAAAGCTCAAAAAAGAACATTTGGAGGAAATACTGTCTTTTATTGAGTACGTACTTCAGCTCACAAAAAATAAGTGCAGAAGGCCCAGAAAATAGAAGAAAAATACGCTTGAGCGCAAGGCAAGAGCAGTCCGTGTGAAAACAAAAAAACAACTCTAGGTATTGTGGGGGGAGGCAGTAAGGAAGAAGGAGCCATGGCATTAAGCCGTGGATATAAACCCTGAAATCCGGTCAATTACTTAGAAACCGGTAATAGGAATCAAACTAGCTAAGTATTGTCAAGTATATAATTTTGGTAGCCACTTGATGACATTCGAGCGGTGATTTTATCAACATTGGCATTGCGAATCTTCTTAGAGACCATTTTAGAGGTAGGAGGTAGATGGTAAGATGCAACAGCTGCCGCAGACTTTGAATACACAGTGGCAGGATAGGACGCAAACTTTGAAGAATATTCAGACGTCCAGGCCTCTGTTGGCGGGGAAGGTTTTGCACAATTCTTTCGAGTGGGAGACGACGTGAACCTGACAGAAGTCGCCTTGGGTCGTACACTGTTGTGTGACTGACTATCTGTTAAATCAACTTTTGGCCATGAAGTCCGCGCAGGCAGTTCAGACTGTTGGCAAACAGCGGCACTGGGACGTTTGAAAAGATTACTCGAAACCCCGTCACGATTTTCTAATGAGCGCAGGGGCAATGATTGGGTCTGAAGGAAGGAAAAATGAGGAACTGAATACGTACAAAGTGCGTGAATTTCTGTAGTGAAACATCTTTCAGGTTGACTTGTTTTAACTGGCGGAGAATAGTCGACGGTCAAAATTCAAACTACAAAATTAAGAGCGGCTAGGGTAGCTGGCGCACCTTCGACGTTAGGACGCCTTTGGCAGGAAAGGACGAAAGACGCCTAGATGAAGGGTGTACAAGGCCCTTGGATGCTGTCTCCGGTGGAATTGGCTGTCAGTAAGGAAAAGGCGTGTGCTGACAGCAGTAAATCATACTTAAGAAAGCCTATGATGGCGGCTGCTACTGTGGACTTGTGGAAGCAAGTTCAAAGAGCTTACGCCCAAGTCACGTATTTTATTAGCACATGAAGAAAAAAGATCTGTGATTGTCTGGACGACATTACAGGTCTGACCGCTCAGACAGGAAGGCCAACGCGTACGAGAAAAGCGGAAAGAGGATGCACTCAGTTATTTTGAGATGTCCCACAGGGATTTTAAAAAACTAAGACCGTCAAATTAAGCTTAAGTATATCATACTCTGGCACTTGTTAGACACACATAAAAGCAGATTCCTGCTACACCCCACAGGTTTTCATAATTGTTAAGCAGGCTGATGAATAAGATATAAAAGGTAACCTAAAATATACCACCCTGGTCAGTAATTATCAATTGAAGTTCGAAAGTGCTATCAAATGTTGTATCAGTGCAATTTCTAAGGAATACCGGGAAAGCACTGATTAGAATTGTCCTTGCGAACAGCTACATTTGATGTCCTGAAAAGCGAAAATTAGAGCTGTGAGCATGGTTTACTACCGGCACAAAATATGCGCAACAAAGGATGTAGAGGAACAACTGGTGACAACTTAACCCCTGCCTACAAATGAAAAATTACAATTATATGGATCAAGAAACAGTGAAAAGACTGCAAGGTGAGCGTCCCATCGAAAACAGAAAGGATATTGAAGTTGTGAGTAAGATTGTGCTCGAATAGAAGATTGAATAGTTAATAAGGACAGTGGGCGCAGATCTCAACGGCGAACTTCGCCTTCCCATCCGTTTTAGCTCTGCTAGGTCTATCTTACGCAGATGGCGCGACAGACAGTAGCAGTAAAAATAAGAGCCACCACCTTAATAGTTTGTGGATACTGTAGTTGATTCCAGGAATAGAACGGTTAGTGTGGCCCAAACTACAATGTCTTAGTTATTAGTACAATGCGCCGTCCGTGTAAAACTTAAAACGTGTACTGTTTATTAGCACTTACATGAAAGGGGCACGAGCATCTAAATGTAGAAGGCTGTTGCACATAAACCAGACCAGCCATTCCAATAATTTTGGTATAATTACACTTCCTATCTCATCAAAACTTCGTTTTATTTCGAAGAACTACGGATATATTGGAAAATGTGAACGTCTGGTAGCAAAGTACATGGGGAAAGTGAGAAAGCGCGTAGTCAAAATGTGAAGCTAAGGGCAGATCTGACTGCAATATAAAAAGTAGAAATGGCCTGATTTTTAAAAAACATTTTTTGAGATGCAACCGGAAACTGAGATTTCGAACAACTGGGCCGGCTATCTATGGTCGAAACCTTGCTGCAAAGAAAAATAAATAAAGTTTAGATGAAGTTCTTGGTTGGTCAGCGCTGCCCTTCTACGCCAACGCTTCCCCATCATAGGTTTAAAGGACAAACGTGCAAGATGATCCCTTGAATCATTATGTGGCACCTGCTACAGCCACCAAGTTCAAACTATTAGGGGCAGTTAAGCTGTTGGAGGCTTCGGAAGGAAGAAACGGGACATAACACTGAAAAATGCCGACAGCGTTATGTCAAGCCTTACGGACGTTAGTGCAGTGAGGGCGTGTTTTTCAGATCCTGACCCAAGCATTATTAAGTTGTTCATTAAGAATTGCTTCGCACGCTAAGACAACGGTCAAGAAGAAATTTGGTCAGCAGTGTTACAATAATTCAGAGTGAGCAAGTCAAAGATTCACTTACTTAGTGGGAACCGGCGCCACTGACCAGCACAACTGTGTCTTCGTGGTGTGTCTGTAAATAGTCCACAGCAAACGTCACCACAAAGATCAGATCCCTCGTAAAATGATCTGACTGGCTGATGATGTCCATCTTCGTAAAAATCTAGACCCCAACGACTTTTATCGTATTACTACGCACTTCACGATATAAAGTGAATTTTGGAACACAAGTGACGGCAAACTCGAAAGAACCAACTCTTTAATGTATCTGCCCTAGATAGCAGATACAACAGATGGGCATTGACACAA